TATATATATATATATATATATAATAATAATAATAAAGAGACACTCACACACTCTAGAACCACACAAAATAAAAAAAAGAGAAAAAACAGTTTTTTAAAGGATAAAAGGAATAGAAGTCTATTCTAATCTAACTATTTTACTTTACTTCTTCTACTTTTCAAGTGAAAAAAAAAAGAAAAACTACAATATATCTATATATATGTATATTGAGAGGGAATACCTCACTTTCTACTCAATGGGATTTAACTGCTGAAGTATACATTTATCTCTATCTGATCTATATATCCTTTTTCTCTCCTTCTCTCTTTCTCTCTCTCTTCTTCTTTACTGATGTATTCTCTTTATTAGACTTGTAGAGATTTACTACACATTATAGTGTCTGTGAATAACACTTTTAAAGGGATTGTTTACTCAAGTCACATAGATACAGTTAGGTATAGATGTATAGATGGGGAGATTGGAGATACAGAATGTACTTCTAGAGAAAGGAGGTATATATATATATTTAAGGATGAATACTACTGATTGATCTACACAAATGGATTCTTTTTGGCCTCTTCTTCTTCTTTTATGATTTGCCGTTGATAACACCTCTCTTTTCTCTGTTAATCTCTTTAAAGACTCCAAATATGTATGTATGAGTGTGTGTGTATTTAATGTTTTTTTTTTTTTCTTTTCTTTTTCTTTTTTTGTTTTCTCTTATACACATATGTGGACTAATAAATATATATATATATATATATTAGTGGTGTGATAGGTCAGCATCTGTAGTACGTACAAAAACTTTATAAATATACATATATATATTTATCTATATATCTATCTGTATCTTTATATATCTATATCTATATAGATAGATATATAGATATATATATATATATATATATGTATATATCTATACATATACACGAAGAAAAGGAAAGAACTAGTACAAAGGCTATCAGTATCCAAGGAAAGAAAACGAGGAAACAAGAGGAGGAAGAATCATCATAAGAAAAAAAAAAAAAAAAGGAAAGTAAAGAAGGAAAAAAAGAAAAAAAAAAAAGAAAGGGAACCAAATAAAGAAGAAACGAATAGAAAAAAAAAAAAAAAACAAAGAAAAAGAATATAATCAAAGACCAACAACAATAACAACAAAGGAAAAGAAAAAAGAAAAGAAAAAAAACAGACAGTTCTCATGTTAAAGGTTGTTCCTAGTGAATTGCAGTTTGGTGCCTTGGCGGTGAATGAAACACCAGCGCACTGTCACTTTCGTGTAATGAATATGGATTCATTAGTGCCTGTCTCTGTGCAGTTGACAGCCACAACAGTGCCGGCCGCCATTCGATTTCAGTTGTGGGATGAAAAGTTACTTCAGTTGATGGAAGAAGAAGATGATGATAATAATACTAATACTAATACTAATAATAGTAGTAATAGTAATAGTAGTAGTATGAGTAATAATAATAATAATAATAACCATCACAGCTATCCTAATTCATACAGTCTTCAAGGGTATACACGGAGATCTGGAGCTCTTTCTCTCTCCTACAATGCCGTATTTGATAGTATTAACATTATTGACAAAATAGTACTTTTACCATTAGAGGTAAAAGATGTGGTGGCAATCTTTCACGCAGATCCCATGCAATTCTCTAATGTCATTCTGCAAGTACCACCCATGATGGTAAGTGGTGCTATTCACTTAACTGCCACTTCACTACCAGTCTCTCCTACCGCTACCACTATATGGACAGAAGGAGAAGGAACTACACTTTTACCACCAGCCACTATTACTAATAATACTAATACTAATACTATTACTATGAATAGTAATACTAATAATAGTAATAGTAATAGTAATAGTAATAATAATTCAGAGAAGAGGCAGGGGGATATTCCTATGAATACTAGTCCAACAACAGATACGAGTAATCCCAATAATCCTCATCCTCATCCTCATCCTCATCATCATGGTAATAGTAGTAGTAATAGTAATAGTAATAATAATAGTGTTAGTGGTAGTATGAGTACGGCGATGATGATGATGATGATGACAAGCACAACAACAACTCATATGAATAATTATGAAAATATGAATGTGAGTAGTAGTGGGAATAATACACTTGTTAGTGCGCGTTCCCCACTTCTCGCCGCTGTGCGATCCGAGACGGTAACACTTCCCTTCAGCGCGAGTGTTTTTCTCTCACTCCTCACAATAGACAAAACAGAACTGCAAACCACCATGGCCCCTAATAAAACACATTTAATGGATTTTACTATCACCAATGCCTCTGCCTTACCATTACCGTTTGTTATTCGTCTACGAACCATTCCTCAAAAGAATTTGGAACTCGCCGTGTATGAAGAGGAAAAGTTTGAGGAACCAAAAATGGGTAAAGTGTTGATGTTAAATAGTTATGCCTCTATGCACTTTACATTGATGCTCCGCACACATGCGAGTTTGGCGGCGTTAACGGCGAATGGTGGGGCCGTTCATTTCCGTCCAGTTCTGCAATGTGATAATTTACGCGATGCGAGGAATTCGGAGTTGTTGCCGGTGTGTGTTTCTGTGGTGGCCTCCGCAGCGGCCCGGGCGGATCTCATTTCAGTGGTGGAGCCGTTGTTGGATTTTGGGGCTGTTTACCGCGGCACAAGAGTGGTGCGGATCTTACATCTCTGCAGTAATAATAATAATAGTAATAATACTACTACTACTAATAGTAATACTACTACTAATAATAATAATACTACTAGTAATAGTAGTGGTGGGAATACGACTACTACTACTACTGCTAATAATACTACTAATACTACTAGTAATAATAATAATAATAATAATAATAATAATAATAATAATAATAATAATAATAGTGGTAATGGTAATAACAAGAGTAATGATGGTAGTAGTAATAGTAATAATAATAATAATAATAGTGGTGGGAATGCCAATATGAATACTACAACGGCTGTTACTGCTATTACTACTTCTGGTAGTAATAATACTATAGTTACTACTAATACTAGTAGTAATAATAATAGTAATAATAATAATCATCATCGTGGGGAGAGTGTGACGGTGCGTTTACTGAATCCACGACCGCAGAACTGTGAGGGTGTACTGACACTTGTGAGGCTTGAGCGTATTCCTAGTGAAAGTAGTAATAATAATAATAATAGTGGTAATGGTAGTAACAGCGGTAATAATACAAATACAGGAACTACGGGAGTTGTGACGAATGTTCCTACTACTACAGGTGGTAGTACTACAACTGTTGTGGATACCGTTATTGCAGCAACAACTACAACTACAACTATTGGTGTTGGTGGTGATAGTAGTAATAGTAATAGTAATAACAAGAATGATAAGAATAATAATTCTACTACCCCTTATCATAATAACATGGATGGTGGTAGTAGTGGTGGTGGGAGTAGAAGTAATAGTACCAGTAGCAGTCAAAGTAGTACTAGTGACACCAATCCCAGCAATAATAATAATAATAACAATAAGGATAATAATAATAATAATAATAATAAGACTAATAAGAATAAAAGCAAAAGAAACAAACGCAATAAAGACAAGAAGAGCAATCATAACAATAAGAACAACAATAATACTAATAATACTACTACTACTACTAATAATAACAACAGCGTTGCTATTGGTGGTGAGACAGGTGGGTTTAATGTAGTTGCAGTGGATGAATTGGTGATTATACCGCAAAAAACACCTGTGCCTGTGGCTATTATGTATACTCCATCTACAGACCGAGAATGTAAAGGCACATCAAACCTCAGATTTGAACTTGAGCTTGTGGTTACAGCAAGTGGAAATAGTAAGAGTAGTCATAATAACAGTAGCAATACTAATAATAATAATAGTGGTAATAATAATAATAATAATACTAACAACAGCAACGACAATATGAATAGAACGACTAGTACTGTTCTTGCTACTGGTACTAGTGCTACGACTATTACTACTACTACTACTACTAATAATAATAATAATAATAATAATAATGCTAACAATACCAGTATTAACAATAGTAATAATAATAACAATAATATTAATAATAATAGTAGTAGACAACAACAACGTGTGGTGGTGCGGTGTGTGGCGGCTCTCTTCACCAGTACCATTGTGGCTTCCCAAACAAACATAAACTTTGGTGATTGTCAAGTAGGACAAAGTGGTCGTTATACCTTTTCTATTGAAAACCCTTCACCTTTACCTACCACTGTACATATACAACTGCGAAGTAAAATTGTCTCTATTGAGGGTGTCCAGCCACGGCCAGCGGCTACAGGTGGAAGAGAAACTGTAGAGGATTTCTCTATTGCCCCACATAGTAGTTTACCCCTCACATTACGTATTACCCCACAACGTGTAAATCCCACATACCGTAAACAATTAACTATTGTCAATGTATCGAATCCAGCAGAAGATCGTCTTATTATAAATATTGAGGCAAATAACATGGCACCCAGTGAGGCAAAACTACATAATGAACTCTACACATGTGAATGTAAACCCCCTTGTGATGATGGTGGAAGTAGTAATAGTAATAGTAATAGTAGTAATGGCGGTGGGAGTAATAACAGTGGGGGTGGAGTGGTAGTCGTAGGAGGAGGTGTAGGCAGTCATCATCATCATAATAGTAGTAGAAGTCTCACCTCTCCACTCTGTGCTATTTTAAATGTTCCTCTTATTGTCGCCTACACTTTATATTCAAAAGTGGATTATCCATTGGTATTACAACTGGAAAGCACAAGTGTAGAGATTACAACCTTTTATTTGGAAGGAATGATGGCCGCAGAGTTTGAGGCACTCGCGGCGGAATTACGTTCGTATTGTAGTTGTAGTGGAGATACCAATATACTTCTTCAGGAACAACAGCAACAACAACAACAATCGTCAACATCATCACCATCACCATCACCACAACAAAAAAGCCAACAACAACAACAACAACAATCTCAACAACAACAACAACAAGAACAACAACAAGGGCAATCACAACAACAAGAACAAGAAGGACAACAACAACAACAACAACAGGGACAGTTAACACCAATGTCATCACCGCATCCACAACAACAAACACAACAAGGACAAGGACTATCACAACTCCCACCATCACAACAATCTCAACAACAACAACAGGAACAACAACAACAACAACAAGGGCAATCACAACAGGGACAATCACAACAACAGGGACAATCACAACAACAGCAAGGACAAGTACAACAACATCAACAACAACAACAAATGCAAATGCAGTTACTTGAACGTGCAGAGGAGGTGCGGGATCGAGTTACGAAGGCTCTTCGTCAACATGCTATCACTACAAGAAGTATTACACTTGAACCACGTAGTAGTCGCACTGTGTATGTGCAGATCTACCGCACAACTGGTAGTAGTGGAGATACCGTAACGAAAGAAGATGGTGTCAATATCGCCGTGGAAGGAATTGAGGTTCCACGGTTTATGCGACTTTCTTATCGACTGTGTGCCACACGTTTTGAACTCAGTGGACAGAGAACAAAGAACTTTGGGGAAGTAAACATTGGGGAACGTAAAACGACAAAACTGCCTATTGTGAACCAATGTAATTCTCTCTTATTACTACGTTTAACCAAATCAAGATCTGTGGCGGCGGGTTATTTTCGAATGGAAAACTCAGATCGAAATTCCATCTATTGCCGTATTCGTCCATACGCTACGAAGGAAATAGAATTATCCTTTTGTCCAGGTATTAAAGGAACTGTTGGAGAGCGTATTCAAATCACTAACGTTCTGGATCCATCAAATGAAGTGACAATGACAGTAAAGGCAACCGTTACAAAAGCAGAGACATTTGATATCAGCCCACATTCATGGAGTTTCGGAGTTGTTAACGTCCCATTATTATTACAACAACAACATCATCATCATCAGTGTATGAATAGCAACACAGTTAATCCTGCAATGATAACAACAGGCACAACAGTAATGGGAGCTCGTGAAGATAATGGACCATTAGTGGCCCGCGTAGGTGCACGTTTTACCGTATCCAACACCAGCAGTTCACGTCGAGCATTACGACTTAAACTCGATATCCCTATGCATATACATAATAGTAATGTTGGTGGTGGTGGTACTGGTAGTAATAACACCAGTAGTCTCAGTGTGCCGAGTGTAGAAGCCGTTGCGGGGCCTGTTGATCGTTTCTTTAAGTTTGAAGGTGTAGATGTACGTATGCAATTAGAAATGGAACATGGTGGGTCAAGTTCTGGATCTTCTCGTAAACTAGAGGAGAAAATTGAGAAACTTGAACAAAAACTAAAGATTTATCATCGTAAGAATAAAACGGATAAAGTGGCAGCGGCAATGCGACAAATTGAGGCACTTAAACGGGCTCTTATGGGAGAAGAAGTGGATCTCAATGCTACCTCGCAACAAGAAGGAACAATGGGTAATAATAACAATAATAATGAATCCCAACAATCCCAACCACAACGTTTTATTGAACTCTCAGAAAGTGAGGATGAAAAGGCACAAGTAAAGCCTAAAGGGCGTTCATTACAACATCCGGAATTACTTTCTCTACTTCTTCGTGATGGTGTTGCATTACCTGAAATGAATGCGGGAGAGTCTGTTATTTTATTGCTTGGTTTAACCTGTATGCGAACAGCGGAGTGGATTCCAGCCTCACAGAGTGGAAGTATTACTTTTCTATTATATGAAACGAAAGATACAGAAGCCAATCGTCTTATTCCTGTTGATATTACACTTGTACGTGCGGAAGGTGGATCTGATGGGGAAACTCCAGGAGCTCCAGGAGTATCCACTGGATTAGATGTACAAATTATAGGTTCACAACAACCATCACAACAACAACAACAACAACAAGCATCACGATATGCTTTGGAATCATTATCTCATTCACCTTCTGGAGATGGTGTATTATCATTTGGATCCCAACCGTCTCCTTTACCAGTCATTTCAGCAGCTCCATCACGTATTGCATTGGAGTGTGGGGATGGTGTGGTGTCTGCTTCTTTTATGGGATGTCCAATGACGATTGTGGGAAATTGTATGGTACAGGAAACCTTTAGATTCTCTATTGTTATCGTAGCGACAGGGGAAACTTCTGTTGTTGTGTTAGAACCCATTCGCTGTTGTGAAAGAGGTGGAGTAAATAATAGTGGTAGCAATAATGCTAATGGAGGAGGAGGAGTAGGAGGTAATGGTAGTGGTGGTAATAATAACAATAATAATAATAATAATAATAATAATAATAATAATAATAATATCAATAATGCGAATATAAACAATTCTGGAATAGCTACAAATGGATTATTTTTCTCATCATTACCGTATTCATCCGTAATACCAAGTACATTAGATGCCCACTTTAAATTTACACCACGTAATGGTGTAGTGCGTGCGGATGAATCCCTATCTATTACAGTAGAGTGTACTCCATACAATATTGGACTCCAACGTTATTTTATTCCTGTAAAGAATTTACAACAAACAGGGGAAATAAAATATATGGTAGTAGAGGTAAATCCTATTATGGAAGAAAAAGGAGATGGTGAACAGCAGCAACCTTTCTTTTTACAAGCTTCACCTCAAGAATTACTTTTACCAGATATTATCTTACCATGTGATGAAACTCGACTGGAAGTGCAATCCTTCTTACTACGTAGTCGTCTAACAGTACCACATGCATTACTTGTACGTTCAAATCGTCCATCGCTTGTGGCTCTCTTTATGGATGCGAAATGTACAATACCACTTGTAAATCCCATTCAACGTATATTGGGAAATGAGAAAATTCGCATTTATGTTCGTTTTCATCCTTGTGAACGTACACGACGACATGTGAGTCGTATTGTGACAGCTGGTATTCTCATTGAAGCTATTGCAGCTATTTCTCATACCCATGGTAACCACACTAATAATAATAATAATAATAATAATAATAATAATAATAGTGGTACTACCGCCGGTATGAATGCGGGTGTTGGAAGTAATACTAATATATCTACATCTACAACAATGGGAGTAGATATGAACAGTGAACGTGGAGGTAGTCACTATACGGTTCTCGCACAAACTACGGTACGTGTATCTGCTCGTATTGGCAGTGGTGAATTACGACTATGTGAATCCCATTTGGATCTCGGTAGTGTTGCCCCACACATACGTGTGGCCCACGCCACTTTACAAATTGTAAATCCCTCTGATCACTTCACCGTACGTGCACGAGTATCGGCGGGAATAACACATACACAGATTGAGAAAACAGAACTCACACTTGTGCCTGGTGGAGTTGTGGAAGTACCTTTTACCATGCAACTCACCGCTCCTGGATTATTACGAGAGTCATTAACTGTATTTAATCTCAGTTGTAAACAAAAACCACTCACAGCGGATGTCTCTGTATTACGACATGATGAAGCCATATCCGCCGTTGTTGTGGAAGAAGGAGAAGTTCAACAAGAAGTAGATGATAATAATAATGATAATGATAATAATGATGATAAGGATGATAAAGAGCATGAGAGAAGAAGGATAACCCAACGACGAAATGATAAAACTGAACATCCACTTCACCCACAACCATTATGTAGAAGTATAAGTGATGGAAGTACGGCATCTCTTCAACAAACACCCATTGTTGTTCTTCCCATAGCGGCTGTTGTTCTCGGCGAGGATGGTCTCTTTCGACTCCACACACCCGTTACGAGTACAGCCCTGCAGGTAACTAATCACAGTCCATGGGATATCATTCTCGTCGCGAAGAGTAATACTCCACTCTTCTTTGGATTACCAGATCCATCATCATCATCATCATCAGGAACAGCAGCAGCAGCAGGAGGAGGAGGAGGAAGTATATCCATCACTCCTCCACAAACAGCACCACTTCCACTACCACCATCCGCATCTACATCTACAGCAGTTCCAGTTCCACAACTACACGCAGAGGATACTGTTTCTCCTACAATCTCAACAACAACAACAACAACAACAACAACAACAACAACACCGGGAGTAACAGGAACAAACTTATCACAACACGCATATCCACGTGGTCGTGTACGATTAGAGGCAAGTCACACAGAGGCAGTCGCATGGACACTCACAGCAGCTCCTCAACTGAAACCACAGGAAGTGAAACGACTGGAACAATATGAACTGGTTACAGTGGAGGCAACAGCAGAAGTGTATGTGGCTCAGATCACAGATGAAGCTGTGGCGTATAACTATAATGCCATGGTTTTCCCAGCCAAACGAGTATTACCAAAGGTTGGACAATGTGTATTGTTACCAAGGTTTCTATTAAGATTCGCATTAAGTGAAGGACGAGCGGAACCAGCACAGATTGATCTTGGTGTGGTTGGTATTCAAAAGAACATTGGATCTGTAAATAATGGTGAAGATGAGGGATTACCGTACTATTATGAGGGAAATACAAGAATTACAACTGCGATAGGTAATAATACTACTAATACTAATAATACTACGCATTCTATCAATCCCTCCGTATCACGCTGGATGTATGGTGGTAATGGTAGAAACAACAGTACTAAAAGTACACCAGCAACAATACACTTAACCAATATGTCTCCTTTTTTACCATTACGTTTAAGTATAGAGTGTGCACCTACTGTACGTTTTATGAGTAATCGTCTTGTGGTTCCACCATTGCAAACCGTTACTGTAGAGGCATTTCTTGAATTAAAACTTATTCGTTCACAAGGTCCATTCCGTTTTGCTGTTTTCTTTGTAAATGAACTAAATCCTGAAAATGATATGGTTGTGTATATAACAGGACAACACTATGTGAAGGTTTTTGAACTTTCTTGTGATGGTGTTATGGATGATGTACGGGATTCCCTCTCTATGGCCCCTTTACGTGTAAAGGATATTTCTGCCTTTACAGATGCGGATAGAAATATATCTACTACACCTCAAATCTTATCAGAGAGTAAAATTACAGTAACGGCAACAGAGCCCAGTGTTGCAGAGGTCTGTTTGCGGGTTACCGAGAATCCAAAATTAGAGGGATTGATTCAATTACAGGCACTACAGTATGATGCCGCTGCGGCTATACAAAAAATTGTTTTTGGACCTGCCAAACATGCAACCACAAATAATATGAATATACCTATGAATAATAATGTTGGTAATAATAGCTGCAATACGAACAATATGAATATGAATAATAATAACAATAACAATAACAATGGATCTTTTTCTACTGCTACTTTAGCAAGTATTCCAAGTGTTGGATTATCTGCTGTTACGACCACTACGAATACCACTACGACGACTACAAATACAAATACAAATGCGAATACCACAACTGGAATGGGAAGTATTGTAAACAGTACAAACACTGGAGGAGTATTAGGAGTTGTTGGAACTTCCACCGCTTCCCCTGCAGTGAATGCAGTAACCACAGGAACTCCTGCAATGGAATCTCTGGTAGCTCCACTACGACAACGCGAACAACAATATTTTCGTCTACGTTGTATGTTGATAAAGGAAGACTTGGTGTCCCTTGCAAATGCCTTCTTTGGTCAACGAAAAAGTAAACGTGTCGATATTTGCCGTGAACGACAGGCATTAACACTGGATAAATTATCCGATGTGGAACGACGACGTGGAATGAGTTCCCCAACCATGTGGCTTGGAACTCTCTTCTTTTCTAATGCCTTAACCGGCGGTGAAGAGGAGGTGCAGGTGTTTAGTACATTATCATCATTTCAAACCTTTACAGTATCCTCAAAATTAACATTACGACCCCATCGAACGACAAGAATGACAACAACAACGGCAGCAGCAGTAAGTGTAGGAACTCCTCGATTGTTGTTAACATCATCCTCATCTCCAGTACTACCATCATCATCATCATCATCATCATCATCATCTTTTTTATCATCTATACTATTATGTGGTCAACAAATAACGCTATCCACTACCCCACTATCACAAATATATGTAGGGGAATTAGTGATATCCAATCCATGTATTTCTCATACCGTGACTCTTTCCGTTACGGCAGTGAAGGATCGTCTCTATCATGATAGTGTGTCGATTTGGTGTCTTTCACTAGATGATCTATCCAACACACCGTTATCACCATCACGACGACAACAACAACAACAACAACAACAACAAGAATCACCTGCATCTGCAAAGATATCATTATCAGTATCACGTAGTAGAGAACGAGTTAATCCCACACCTTTGCCGAATAATGAGAATGAGACGAGCAGCGCAACGAATACGGAAACTTCTATTGGTATGACCACCACTACTACTACTATTACTACTACTACTACTACTACTACTAATAATAATAATAATAATAATAATAATAATAACCGAGATGTATCATTCTCAGCATCATCACCACCACTGTCAGTACCAACACCAACCGCTACTACTAATACTACTACTACTACTAATGAGACAACCGATAATATGGAAGGGGCAATTGTGTTTCTTTCGATTCCACCACAATCTACACAACGAATACATGTGGTATTGCGTGTAGAGATGGGCCGTTATCCATCCAATGTGGAACAAACCATGGCATTAGCCCTCTTTGATGAAAGTGTACCGTGTAGTGCGGCCGTCGTTCGCATGACACTAGTTCCTATAGAAGAGGTGACCCATGAAGAAGAGGAAGAAGAAGAACATCATCATCATCATCATCGCCATCATCATAATAATAATCAACAACAACAACAACAACCATTGGCTTCACGTGGTTCTATGCGGCAATTGGATTTAGAGATATACCGAGAGAATACAAAGGATGGGGATAGAATCATTGAAACTACCACTACCACCACAAGAGCCGCATCTCCTCTTGCCGTAGCGAATGTCAGTGGTACTGGAGGTATATTAACTACTACTATTAATACTAATCCTACTAATAATAATAATGCTACTATGACTACTACTACTACTAATATGAATACGACTAGTGGAGGTGGATTAATGACGGTATTACACTCACATGATATTTCTCAACTTCCATCCACACCATCGCGTGTATTAACATTACATGGTAATTGTCAACCTGTACCCGACTGCAGTGGTGCATATGCAAGTAGTTTCTCCTTTGCAAAGGATTCCCCACCCGCAACAGAGATTACTATCCGTAATAATCTCACAGACTCTGTAGTGGAGTATAATGTAGTAGTCGTCTCACAAGGACCAAAACCATGGTTATTATTACCAAGTGCAACAGCAGTACTGGAGCCAGGAGAGACACAACCATTGAGACTTAATATTCTCTCTACAGAGCCTGGATCCTTTGTGGGGTATGTGAATATCTTTAATAATGCGGTACCAAGTGAGATGCTATTACTACAAGTGAATGCAGATGTGTTTGTACCAACATCAGGTGAAGGATTATTTGAGATTCTCGCCTCTAACGGAGAACGTATACCAGCGAATGCGGAACGGCAAGTATTTGTTGGACGACTTTTCGGTGATAACTCTGTGCGAACCTATACAGCCTTTGAAATTGTTAATCATTCCTCTGCCCCATTAGAGTTTCCTGTTGCGGTGGTAAAACCTTTCCGTATAGAGTTTAATAAGGTACCAACTGAAGATGATACGATTGGATTTATCGCCCCAACAGAAACTAATTTTGATGTAACTCCCAACTCTAATACGAACAATAGTGTGAGTAGTAACAAGATGAATAATAATAATAATAATAATAATAATAGTAGTGGTAGTGGTACAGATATGATGACGCAGGCTAGAGATAATAATAATAACAATAACAGCAGCAGCAGTGGAGGAATGCCATTGCGGAGTCCAGAAGGTGTTGGGAATGGAAGGAATAAACAACAACAACAACAACAACAACAACAACGTAAACGAAGTGGTGGTCATAGTAATATTATAGACAATCGTCCTCTCTGTGATGTACGGTTGTTATTATGTCATCTCAACTGTGTACCCGCTATGCGTGGACAAAAGTGTTTTGTTGTGGATCCCCAATCCCGCGTGAAGGTGGCTTTTCTTCTTGTATGTGATCAACTTCATCTTCCCAGTGGTTTGGCTGCCTGTGGAGAGGCAGCAGTTGTATTAAAATGTAAACAAGCACGAGATGCACGATTTGTTTTTCGAGCTCGTTTTGAAGTTTGTCGTTCATCTATGGATGTAGAGAGACGAGTATTCTTTAGTGCGGCAGACGACTATACACAACAGATCTCTATAAGGAATTTACGATCACGTGAGATACGAGTAACATATCGTACCTTATCGCCTATTCTAGATATTATTGTAAATGATAAGGATAAGGCACCTCCACTATTACAATCACCATCACGACGAGATAATAATAATAATAATAATAATAATAATAATAATAATAATAATAATAATAATAATAATAATAGTAGTAACAATAATAATAATAATACTATTAGTATTGAAGTTGGTGCATCTGCAGTTATTTCTGTACGACTGAATATTGAACGTTTTGCGGCTTTACGTAATTGGGGAAATCTAAGTGATCTCACCGCTGCTCTTCCAACCATATGTGAACATTTAGTTTTATTAAATGAACGTAATCCAAGTGAACATGTACGGGTAGAGTTATGTCATCTTCCACCAAATGTCTCTCCTCTCACCAGATTACCCATGTGTTCTGTTTTACCTACCACAGCCTCTTTGGCCTCTACTGCACAGTCATTTATGAGAGGTGTTAAAGTGGGAAAACCTTATTTTAGTGAAGAACGACTTTTTCAATTTGTTCAACGTTTTTGGTGTGTTCTTTCAGAGGCTTCCGATGTATTGATAACAGAGTTTCAATACTACATTGCACCAAGAGGAATTGAACTTCCTGCGAGTTTGAGTTCCATGATTGCAAATAATAATAAAAATACTATTATTACTACTAATACTAATAATAATAATAATAGTAGTGGTAAGGATAATAATAATAATAGCAATAGTAAAAGCTATAATAGTAACAGCAACAGTTACAGTAATTTAGGTGGTAGTATTAATAGTGGTGGATCCATTACCTCTTGTTGGAAAGCCCTACACAGTCTGTTGGTGGATCTCACTTGGTTAGTGGATGAATTACTTCTTTGTTCGATTCTTCTTCAGAACGCACGTTCAATTGAGGCGTATAGTGTTTTCCTTGCGGAATCTATTACCAATCATCCTTTTCTCTGTACATGGCGACAACAAAAGGCGAATCTCCCTTCCACATGCATCTTTGCAGTGTTTGGACAATACTTGGAGACTATTGATGCCTTACCTTGCCCAACACCATCCACTGATTGATGGGGGAGGAATAAAAAAAAAAAATGAAATGTAAACCAGAAAATAGAAGAGAAAATAAAGAATATATATATTCGTATGGATAGAAGAATGGAAACTAAAGAGTTTAAAATGAACGATTATAGTATGTCTATGTTTATCTCTATTTACGTGAGTCTATATCTATTTATTTATTTATATGCGTGTTTATGTGTGTGTGTGTAGTTTCTCTGTTTTTTTTTTCTGTGTGTCTCTTCTTTGTTTATTTATATTCTTGCTTATTTCTTGTTGATGAATATCAGTTTTTCTCATTGTTGTTGCCCAGCATTCGATTTTACCTCATTGATTCTTTCTCTTTTCCGATAATATTGCGGTCTTAGAGCGTACCATTCCTTATTATTATTCTTATTATTATTATTGTTATTAAGATTATTATTATTATTGTTGCTTATATTACTGTTTCTTCTACTTCTTCTTCTTCCACCTCTGTGCATACATACGTACGGTTAAGGAAAGAGAAAGAAAAAAAAA